CATGTGGCATTCTATACAAAAAAGAAAGCAATAAGGCACACATGATCAATACTTAAATGGATTTTAGGGTTGCAAGGGAAAAATTAAATTTTAAAACGCCATTTCTTGAAGTGGGCAGTTAGTTTGTTTTTCTTCTTTGCTAAATAATATTCAATTTCTTTCTGTTTTTTAACAAAATATTTAAATGCTAAAGTATTGGGGAGACTATTACTAAACTTGCAGATATGAATATGATATTTCATTAACAAAAATAAGTATGTAACAAACTTGTCATTACAGATTCCAAAAAGTTTTTCAAAATTGGTAACATTCAAGGCAAAATTATTCTGGGAAATAATTGCAAGGAGGTCCTGCCAAACTGGGGTAACCTTTTCACATTCACAAAATAAGTGGACCATTGTTTCCTCCTTTTTATCACATAGAGAGCAATTAGTTGAATCCTTCCGTTTAATCTTAAAAAGAAAATCATTCAATGCAATAGCTTTGTGGAAAATCTTGAAATAAAATGACCTCAGTTTACTATCAATAGTGCAAAAAAAAATTAGTATTGTGGACCTTTTCCCAATCAATGGCTACTGGTACAGGTAAGTATTCACTCCAAAAAGCATATCTTTTGTTCGGGATATGGGAACCGAGTAATAAGTTGTATGTGTTTCTGGGGACTTTATTCATGTTCACTAGTTTACGGACAATTGTTTCATGGACTCCCACTATATCAGGATCAAAATTCTTCATCTACTCCTCTAGTATATTCTTAAACAAGAAAGTAAATTTCCTCCTGTCTGTAGCAAGGATACCAAAATTTAATATAAGTTCCTCAAAAAGTTTATGGCCAGGGAGAGGTGGATTAAATAAATCAAATACACTAAATATATTTTTATTGTACCAAGATGGATAGAAAAAAATGGGATTTAGATTTCGAACGAATTAATCTGTTATACCACAGAACTTGACATGCACCTAGTTCTGAAAATTTATTACCATAAAATTCAATAGTAGCTTCTTCTCTAAATAAGTACCAACTTCGTAATGATTCAGCAAGTTGTATGCTACCAAGAGAATTTAGAACACTCTCAGGAGCATGAGATTTCCACAAAAATTGAACATCTTGATTAAAATTTTCCAGAAAGGATAGCTCAATATCTTTCCATGGAGCATCAAAGTTATCATCCAATAACAGTTTAACCCACCTCATTTTTTGAGCAGTTGCAAAGGAAAAGGGGTCAACAATTTTAAGACCTGCATATATATAGTCGTTACACATTACCTTTCTCTGAACTCTGTCATTACCTCCATTCCAAATAAACTTAAAGAACAATTTATTCAAAGTTTTGAAGAAAGAACTAGGTAATTTAATAGAAAGGACTGAAACTAGGTATATAAGTTGGGGCAACACAAGGGTCTTAATAATACAAACTCTGCCAATTAATGAAAGGTTTCTTGTTCGCCGGCAATTTAAGGTTTGTTCCAATTTTCTAAATCTATCTTTGTAGTTTAGATCATAAATTAGGGCAACATTTACTGAGAAAGTGACACCCAGACATTTGAATTGAGATGTCTTCCATGAAACACCATGGTTCATAAAAGGGAAGTCTTCGTTTCCTTTCTTTGAGCCAATCCAAATGGCTTCAGTTTTGCTGAGATTTATTTTACAACCAGAAAATTTACCAAATTTATGTAAGGTATCAAAAAGTTGAAAAAAAGAGTTATTTGAACCATCCAAAAAACACACAGAATCATCAGCAAACAAGGAAATCTTGACCTCTTGATTTTTGACTGGAATACCTTTAATTTAATTGTTTTGTCGTATGGAAAGGGCCATTATCTCTATTACGAGTAAAAATAAATATGGAGAGATTGGACATCCCTGAAAAAATCCTCTTTCCATATCAATGCGTTCTGTAAGGAAACCATTGTTCAAAACATAAGAATGGCGACCAGCATATAAAGTCTTAATGGAGTCTATTTATTCTTTGCTAAAATTAAACTTTTCTAGGGTTAGAAATAGAAAATTGTGGGAGACACTGTCAAAGGCTTTCTCAATGTCAAGTAACAAAATAGATCCTGGAATATCATTCATTTCAATATATTCAATTATGTCCAAAATTAAACGAATGTTGTGGCCAATGTTCCTACCTTTCATAAAACCAGATTGATCAATATGAATAAGATCACATAAGCAACGCTTAAGACGGTTAGCAAAGCACTTAGCCACAATTTTATAATCTGATGTCAACAATGTAATAGGGCGATAATTTTTTATGAGGAGAGGGTCTCTATCCTTCTTTGGGAGAAGAGTGATTATACCATTCCCTTGTGAGGGAGACAAAATTCCATTTTGTAAAGAAAAATTCAGGGATTTCATCAGCATATCACTTATGTCAGGCCAAAATATCATATAAAACTCAACGGGTATACCATCAAACCCAGCGGTTTTATTCCTATTCATGGATTTAATGACATTATACATTTCTTGATTTGTAAGAGGGGTGTCTAAAGATTTTTTTTGATCTTCCGATAATTGAGGAATATTAATTTTATCGAAGAGAGATTCGTTAATGTCATTACCATCAATTACTCCTTGAGCATCATCTTGAAAAGAGTATAAATTACCATAAAAGCTTTCAATTTCTCTTAAGATTCCAGCTGGGTCAGTAATTAGGTCGCCTTTAGAGTCTTTTAGCCTAGAAATATTTTTCTTATGCCAGTTCCTGTTTTCTAAATTACAAAAATATTTAGTACTTTTCTCTCCTTCCTCTACCCATCTAACCCTGGATCGAGTAATTAACCCTTTTGTCTCAAAATCATAAATATTGTTCAACTTTTCTTCTAATTCTTCTAATTTTGTCAAGAGGGAATTATAATCATGAGACAGGACAGTATTTGACAGTTGGAGTCTTATCTTATCAATGTCAAGTAATAGCCTATTTTTTTTCACTGTTTCTTTCTCTTTTCTTCCTGGAGGAATATTCCATGGTAACCCCTGTAATAACACACTTTAGGGAGTCCCATAATATGTTGGGGTTGCAATCTGAGTTTTTATGGTTTTCTTTAAAATCAGTTATTGTGTCTTTAATTAATTGAACAAAATCAGAATTATGGTGAAGGTAGTGACAATTCATTTTCCAAAAACCACTCCCCCTTTTAGGTTGATTATCATTAAATAAAATTTGAACAATAGAATGATCTGATTGTATTCCAGGTAATATCTTAGAACTTACACAATTATCTATAAAATTACTAGAGACTAAAATAAAATCAAGCCTGGATAAAGCCCTTGGTGTTTTTTGGTGGCGAGTATACTGTCGTAAGTTAGGATGAAAGTGTCTCCACACATCAACAAGTCCAATTTCATCCATTAAATTAGATAGCATTTCACACGAACTTTTGTTTGAATGTTGTGATCTTGAACCCTGATAATCAAGTGGGCTGATTACTAAGTTGAAATCTCCACCTATAAAAAGGATGGGACTGCTTAGTTGATCTATTTCAGCAAAAACCTTAAACAAGAAGTCAGGATCATCCTTATTTGGTGCATATATGTTTTAACCAAAGTCATTTGTAAATCATTTAAGATTGCCTTTAATATAATAAATCTTCCTGCAGCGTCACTAAATTTGGAAAGTACCTGAACAGAGACAGTTTTTCTAATCAAGATGGCAACTCCTCTACTGGCAGAATTAAAACTTGAAAAAAAAAGCAAGTTCACCCCACTGAGTTTTCCACAACATTTCATCTTTTTTTATCAAAGTGTGTTTCTTGCAAATAAATAATATCAGTACCTAAACTTTTCAAATAATGAAAAATCTTTTTTCTTTTATAAAATTCTTGCAACCCACGACAATTAAAAGTATTCAATTTTATGGTCATGGTGGAGGATTATCACAATCAACTGCTACTAGCCAAATTATTTGAATACTATATTGAACTCCATCATAAAAAACAATATAACAAGATAGTTGTATTGAGTACACTAATACTAAAAAAAAGAACATTCTGCCACATAATAAAAAAGAAAAAAGGAAAAAGAAATCACAAAAAGAAAAAAAAAGTAATTACAGAGGTACATTGTATTAAGTCTTGAAAAGAAGGCGACAAACGTGCAAGATGAAGAACAAGGTTTCAAATAAAAAACAACCTTGTTGTAACACGTAAACAGAGAAAGAAAAAAGCAAAGGCTTATAAAATACCCCAAAATCAAGCTGGTGAATCTTAAAATGTATCATTAGAATTGTCACACAATATGGATAAAGATTACAAGTACGAACCGAAATGTCCAGGCCCCCAAGGGCCCCATTGCCTAATCGCCCATGGATCGTCTAGTTTGAAATCATGCTCTAACCCAAATACTGAATTATACATGTAGATGATGGACATAAGAATAAAAACTAAATCATAGTACCATACACATTACACAATAGAGTACCTGTTATCAGGGAGAAGTTTGTTATCAAGACAGTATACACTGTACACCTATTTAAGCTACTGGTTGTGTGTGGCATGTAAATGTAAATTTCTTTTCCACCTGAGCATGACTGTAAATAAACTTCCAGATTATGTGACCTTGCATAATTTTGTTATAGTCCAAAAATAAATCCTATGGTACCAATTATTGAGCTAAAACTACCAACAAAATAACATATTAAAAATAAGAATGGTTATTGTCAAAAAGAGCATGACATATTGACCAGTGAATCATGACCATTTGTTTGAAATCCTGCTCTATTCTAAAGAAAAAACAGACAAAAAGCATTTGCTAAAGCGTGATATTAACGGACATAAACGATCAACTTCAAGTTCAAGAAAGCAGGGCTATGGCTAATCAACGATGATTAACTTTCCAATGTTATTCCTGAAAGCTAGCCTTGAGGGATAAATGAAAAAAGGTTTCTTGCCTTCCTCCTTCAAACGCTTTAACTCCTCCATTCTTTCTCGCCTCAACTGTAGGATACGCCTGGAAAAATCTTATTACATAGACACTTTCCCTCCTCTGAACATACTCTCCTTCTTCAATTTGGCAATGCAGGCTCTACGTACCTCCTCCTTGGCGACAAATGAGGAAAACGCAATGTGAATGATCCTAGGTTTGACCCTCTCCGACTCTGATCCTTGCCTCGACCCCTTGGTGGTTGGGGTGCGGTGGCACCTCTCGATGTTGTAGCTGGTAGACTGTATTCCAACAAAATTAGAGATGAAATCTCGAACTACCTCCAGGTAATTTTCCTTTGCTTTCTCGGTGACACCATGAAAAATCAGGTTATTTCTCCTGCCCCTATTTTCTAAGTCACCTAGCTTGAGAAGGAGATCATCATTTTCCTTCTTAAGTTTCTTAATTTCAGCTACAACTGTATCTACCTGAATACAGCATGCCTCAAGTTTCTCCTCATTTTCCTTCGTTTTCAGAGACAACTCCTCCAATTTGTTTATGACAAGAGAGTCAATACGTTCCTCCATTCTGTGGAACTGCTCCAGGTAGTTGACGAACCAAGCGGGAGGGGAATTACAGCCGAGCCCGGCGGCCTGGGATTCCAGTTCCTCAGGTGTCTGTAGAACCAATATCTTCGGGTGGGATGATACTTTTTCCGGAGTGTTCAGGGCTCTTTTAGACGCCATGATTATACCCGGAATTATTTAGATATCAACGTGGACAATTCAGAGTCCTTTAAATATCACTTATACTTATCACCAGCTGAAAATTGAGTAAATTTGACAGCCCTTTCACGAAGACATGTTACCAGATCGGTGCAGGGCGCCCTCCTCTCGTTCTACAGTTCTTCTTCTTCTCTTTCTTACCATTGTAATTCTCTGCCTCCTCCGTATATAGGCCTATACGGCATTATCGATACATGATTAAACAAAAGTGAGATCATTTCCTTTCGTTCTTTTTTCTTTCCTTTTGAATGCCACTTGTTGTGAGACTTTAAATAACTTTTTCGTCCGAATTTTTTTTTATCTTCGACATTATTCCCGAAAATTACTTGTTTTTCCGGATCGGTTCTCGGGATCGCGCCGTCACTCGGCCTAATGAGTATAGTCGGCGAATAAAACAATTAATAAAAAGGGTCCAGAACTAGACTAAGCGTAAATTGGCATGGGGTCTAAGAGGCGGAGCCCCTGGAAGCTCAAGGATTTTAGGCACTTATTCAAGGTCAGATGAGCATATTTTAAAATCTTATTCGTGACACTGGCAGGTCACTATATTCTGCGATAAAGGTGTTTAATTTTCTGTACCAATTAGGCTTCTACGATCGATTTTACGGAACTGATTTTATGAATTTGGAAGCCGACATGCTTGACGATGCCCTCCGCGTATGTACTTCTCGCATTTGCTATTTTTTCACCCTTTTTTTTTACTGAATTAGGTTTGGTAAATCGCGCTTTTATTTGCAAGGTGCTATGAAAAAAAAAACAATTCAGAGAAGCAACCCACCCGATAAAAATTATAGCAATAAACTTGTTCTTGAAATTATTATTTGATATCGTTTCTTGTATGAAGAAATAAGAGGACCTAGTAACTGAGTTTTCTGTTAAATTTTATCATAAAAATCCCTGTGTCAGTCCTAATTGATTAATTGATTAATTTGCAATAACTTTTTTCTTTTTATTAATATGCGCGTTAGTGGAATTTTGATCAAAGTGCTAAAACATATGTCATCTATTTTTGTAAATGATTTTGTTCTTCAGATTTGCGATGAAGAATTATATGATTTGGTTTCAGTCAAAAAAATATATACGGTCCATGTGAATATGGAGAGCGAAACAAAATAATACTCACTCAACTAACAGCACCATACATCCAACTTTCCCAGCAAGGTCTCGTACATCTTTTTCGGATGAATCTGGTAAGATGACAAGATAGAACGTGTTTATACGTTGTGCGTGATGAACAGTGTTAATACTATGAACATGACATTTAGCCTACATGAAGAAGTAGAGAGAGAACAAGGTAGAAAAACTTGTGCAATATGCCAGAATAACACAAATGAATGAATTCTTTGTGCAATAACATTTAAGGAAACCACACAAAATAATATTATGTGATAACAAAAGCAGTGAACAAAATGCGTTTTATGAAGAGAATCTTACATGGGTTTGGAAGACGTGGAATCATACTAAGAAGAGGAAGAAACAATTATGATAAATATACGAACCTATGTACGCCAAGTATACATGTATAATGTTATGTGATAATTTTGTAATAATTGCAATGGTCAGTAATAGTACCATTCCAAAGCCAGTAATAGAAACACCCATAAACGACATCAACAAAATGAGGATGTTTGAAAAGCCCAATACATCACTCTCTTTAATTATATGTGTTCATCTACATATCAACACTGTTTGAGCTTCATGATATTGAAAAATTATTTTGGAAATGCTTGGTAGGGCTCCTTATTTGTATCTCCATATGCTTTTGAGAGAGAAAAGGCTTAGTTATATAAATAGTTGTAGTTCCTTCTTAATAATCCCAATATGGTGATATGACGATTGACAATGTTCGGAAACCTGTTCCACAATTGACATCCACACGTGTAAGCCCATGCATAATACCCTCCTAGCAGTCTCCAAACTAATTACATCAGGCAGGTCAGGTAGATAGTCACAGTCAGGCGCGTACGCAGGATATTTTCAAGGGGGGGGGGGGGGGGGGGGGTTAACATTTTTAAATCGGGCCGAAAATTTCGCAACGACTCAGTCCGCCGTTGAATGGGGGGGGGGGGGGGGGGTGGGGGTGGAGTTTGGGGGAGGGGGGGGGGGGAGAGGACACTTTTGTTTTTTAGTCTCGAAATTTGAAAAATTGACATTTTGCTCCGTTGGGGGGGGGGGGGGGGGGGGGAGGGGGTAAGAGGACATTTTTTTTTTTTGGTCTCGAAATTTGAAAATTTGACATTTTGCTCCGTTAAGGGGGAGGGGGGGGGGGGGTAAGAGGACCTTTTATTTTTTTTGTCTCGAAATTTGAAAATTTGACATTTTGCTCCGTTGGGGGGGGGGGGGGGGGGGTAAGGTCAACTTTTTTTAGGTCAGCCATTGGTATAATTTTTTTTTTTTTTTTTAATGTTAAATTGATCAACGGCTTACTCATATTCGTTTGTTTTTATTATATTCCTTAAAAAAAAGATATACTGCGCTCTATATATGTGTTTGATATCTGCCATGTTATAAGAATTATAAGAGTTTTATTTTGTTACTGTTAAACTAATTACTTTATAAGAGAACGCAAGTGTTCACATAATTCTCCCTTTCAGATGATAAATGTTGGATGATGGCAATAGTTCATGTGTTACTCAGGCGTATGTCATGGTTTATACCTTCAATATACACTGTCACTCATTAAGGTGGAATATTTTTGTTTTACCCCAATTCATGGAATTATTTTTAAAATAATTTAAAAATAATAGATCTATATAAAAGTATATTTTCTCATTTCCCTTGAGCCATAATGCATGGCCATCTAGAGGATTTGTTTATGTTTCGGACCGGGGTAAAATGCAATAAATTATTGAAAATTTATTGCATTTTCTGTTTGTTTTTTTATTTATGGAAACTGCCACCTACTCTAGCCCTCGCTGCGTACAGTCATGGTTCACTGACAAAGCAATGGCCTCGTAACTGTGAGGGAGTTTTACCTAACAGCCATATTTTACAATTTTTAACAAATTTACAAACACGCAAGTTGCGTCCAATTTACCCTAATTTAGGCAATTGAGCATAAGCGCATGTTTAGCGAATGGTGGAAGAACCAAGTAGGAAATGAAATAAACCATTTGTTTTATCCGGCATATCTAGAGTGTTATGAATTTGTACACAATGCGTTGGCTTAGTAATACAATAGACATAATTGGTCATAAGAAACATAATTGTACAAAAAAAACTAAATCCAACTTTATGATTATATGATAAGGGAAAAAACATACTAAAGTCACATATTTTTGTTCGTGTGTGTGTGTGTGTTTTATTGGAAAATCAAAAGAAATCACAATATTGACAAATAATTTACATAATAATTCCACTAAATACAATAAAACAATAACACTAATATAAAGTAAATGTTTTCATATTAGAGGTGTAGTTTCATTTGAATTTGTTTCAACAAACACACAATTAAATCAAAAATTCATCTTCTTTCAATATACAAACCACCACTAATGTTTCTTCTCGTGATGACAGATATAGAATCGGTCAGATATTCCTCCTGATCCTCAGTAGATGTTTGTCGTTTATCAGCATGCTTGCTCGGCTTTACGTCTACATGAAGAGCGCGTCTCAGAGCAGGGACTATGTCGGTCGAATACGCATACGTATCAATCATACCAACGACAAGCTTATCAGGAAACACCAATCGTTCATTATCACAAGATACAGCCTTGCCTGGTGTGTACGACAAGATTTCATGTCGTAATGTAGCGATCCTCGTCTTAATATCCGCGTTTGAGGAAGCCATTTTGAATAACTACGTGCCTGCGTATGAATAAGTACAACCTAATGCAGTTAATGCAATCAGTATATTCTCGTACGGCAAATGTTTATTGTTCAAAATATGGCTTTCATGGACTTTGTACTTTCAGTGTTTTCGAAATCATTGCTAATTTAATATTTTGTATGAGTTAACGATTCGCTCTGGTGGCCTTTCAAACTGATGAATCCTTAGGTGTTTTGTTCATATTTCAGTTACATGTATTTGCATTGATTTGACTCGTGATCACTGAGCTGCCCTTTCCCAAGACCCCCCCCCCCCCCCCCCCCTCTCCACATCCATTGTGTAATATGTTAAAGCATCCGTGTGAAAACCACTCAAACATAATACTTTCAAGGTGATAGGCTAAATAATGTAAATTAATATTTATTAATTAATATTCAATTCAATTAAAATGGTTGATTAATAACATTTCGTCGGGGCTAAAGGCCGAATTGTGGTTTTCCATTGTTATATGTTAAAAAATACAAAAATATATACAATCATAACACATAGGTACATAAACAATAATATATACAAAAAAGACAAATGCAACTGCGTCTCCTATATTCCTCTGCCCTAAATTCAGTTTAGGAAATGGATGGATATTCGTGACATATCAAGATGAAATCGAATAGGTTATTTCATTTATTTGTATTTATTTATTTCTAATCTTTTTTAGGGTAGCCCTTTCACCAATAAGTAGTGGTCTTCCACGGGGCTCTGAAAAAGCATGAACATATTTACATCAAAAAGCATACCATTTTAACAGAACAGTTAAAATAAAAATCCATAGTACATTTAGAGAGATATGACGGAGCAATAGTAGACGTGCCACAAACGAATACTTGCTTGTAAAATAAATATATCAATAACCTAGTTCAACTGTAATGCCAATAGGAAAATATTGATTAAGTCGCAATTATGTGAATAAATCATGTTAATATTACAGAACATGCACGTAGTGTATGTTCGGCTGAGCCATTGACGAATTACAACTTTTTTTAAACAATCTCTGAATTGACAGAGGAAGCCGTTCTCATCGAATTATCTAGCTTATTCCATTCGAATATAGAAGAAACAACTGGGCTACACTTATACCAATCAGATGTTGGATGATATCAATAATTCATGTGATACCAATCAGCGTGAAATGTAG